CCTTAAAATATCACGTTCCCCTTCGTTTGATCGTCGTTTTTTAATTTACAAAAGTATAGATTTACAATTATGTACCTCCGTCAGCGTGAATACCTGTGAGTGTGTGTGTGTGTGTGTGTGTGTGTGTGTGTGTGTGTGTGTGTGTGTGTGTGTGTGTGTGTGTGTGTGTGTGAACAAAGAAATTTAAATCTGTTCATGCAGAATAATATCTTTATACACGATTAAAAGTTTGGCATTGGTCGTAAATAAAGTCAAAATCAGGCCAGCGATAACTAGATCTATGTGAGTTAAACTGAAAAGCGGATTATGATTACCCTCCAAAAACTTGAAAAAAATGTCACGTAATTACACGTAAAGAAATTCCAGTAAGAAAAGCAACGACTTCAACATCAGCGAAATTACTTTATAGCAACAACCACGGAGCCTTTTCAAGGGACGTGATCAAGTAATTGATAAAGAGATGATGACAAAAAGGAAGTCGCCTCCCCTTTATCTCCTCTTTGTAAGAGGGACAAAAGAAGAGAAAAAGAAGAAAGATAAAAACTAATAAGATAAGATAAGATAAGATACATCTTTATTGTCCAAATCCTGGCACATTGGTTTGGTGTTTCACCACGTGTACACACACACACACACACACACACACACACACACACGCGCGCGCGCGCGCACACACACACACACGCCCACACGTGCTCACACATGCACACACACACGTAGGCTTACAATCACATGCATAATATAAATGAGCAGTAATTTATACAAAAATAATCGTAAGCTAGATACACACTCAAATGTATTTTGATGCTTGCTCTAAGGTCGTAGATATACTTATACAAGATGGTTAAGATGAAAGCATTTTGATAGATGATGGTAAAAATGACCTTCTATATCTTTCTTTGTTACAGATCAGAAACCTAGATCTTTTACTTCTGACTGATGTTTTTATTTAAGGGAACAAGGGATGTTTGTTGTCTAAAGAGATGGAATTATTTTTTTAGTGCAAGCTGTTATGTACAATTCATCCAAGTAGGGGAATGTAGATGTTGAAATTTTACATGCTTTCCGTATTAGTCGATTTCATTTTTCTTTATCTTGTTGTCTTGTGTTCCCGGCCCATGCTGTTATACAAAAAGTGATCATATTTTCTATGGTTGAATGGTAGAACATGGACATCAATGTTTTATCAACTTTAAAATACTTTAGCTTCCTTAGAAAAATAGTCTTTTATTCACTTTTTTATACAGGAGAGAAGTGTGGACACGCCAGTTGAGTTTGTTGTCAAATACTTAATACTAAGTATATAATATTTAATATTAAGTAAATGTACAACCGGCAGATTGAGTGTTGTATTTTACGTTAAAGTTCTTTTTTTTTTTTTTTTTTTTTGCTCAAGTTCTAACGCCCAACTGGACACGGTTTGTTCGCTTCGAAGGCGATTGAGCTTCATGACTTAGAACGAGTAAGCCAAGTAGGTCTATGTTCTGAATGGAGTCGACGTTTACTGCTAGAAGCGGTTTTAAGTTTTAACCCTATCCGTACACCCTGGGGTCAATTTGTACCCCCGGGGTTGTATTCTTCACATTTAAGAATACTTCTAGTTCGAAGATCTCTTTGAAACTTTCAGTATTTCTCAAAAAATGATTTTGACAGACTGCTATCCAAAGCTTTCGGATCGGATTAACGAGTAAATTTCCTCCTTCAAAGTGGTGGCACAGAGTTCCCCATGTCGTAAGGATACGATAGTAAAACACGACGTACGGATAGGGTTAAAGAGTTGAAATTTCGTGGTTTTGTTTACTTAGCTATTTTTTTTTGGGGGGGTCAGTATTTAGATTTGGTATATCGACTATTAGTACGTTAAAAAAAAGAATGTGTTTTTGTAGTAGTTTCTGTTCGAGGTAGCCTGTTCAGAAAAAAAAATACGCACCGTTTGCTTACTTTTTAAAAAAAGTAATAAGTTTGACGATATATACTGATGATGATGATGATGATGATGATGATGATGATGATGATGATGATGATGATGATGATGATGATGGTGATGATGATGATGATGAGGAGGAGGAGGAGGAGGAGC